TCCCTGGTCGGATCGCTACCGATGCGCAGGCTAGCCTCGCTAGCGAACTCCAGCTGACGCTTTCCGGAGGCAATCTCTTCGCGCTTTCACGCCACTTCCGGATCTTCCGTCTCCGTTCCCGTACGCGTCGCTTCCTCCGGCGGGGCTTCCCACTCGGACCCGGTTCCTTCTTCTTCCTCTTCCTCCTCACTCAACTCGCCCTCGCTATGTTCACTATAGCTTCCCTCCTCTGATGTCTCCTGGTCGTCGTCTTCTTCTTCTTCGTCGTCGTCAATCACCACTTCTTCTGCCCTCGGGTAGAAGGCGTGAGGGATGATCTCGTACGGCTTCAGATACTCCTGTCGTGATGGTAGCGTATCCTCGTCCCTAGGTTCTCCCAAGCACAAAGTCCACTGAAGGTACGGATCCAAGGATCGCTCGAAAATGTACGGAGCAGGACTGTTGTCGATCTGAAAGTAGATGTCGGGCGAGAGATCGTCCGCCAATTGCACGATCGGTGCGATGAGCTCTTGTGCAATCAACTGACGGCGACCCGGTCGTACCGATCCAAAGAGGAATCCTATAAGATCTCCTTCCGCGTTAGTCCTCCAACCCTGTATGATCAGCAACTCCGGATTCTCGATCCACGTGGGGTGCTCGATAGTGCCCGTCCACTTCACTTGTACTCGGGTCAGGCAGAAGGACAACTCCTTAAAAGTCTTGCGCGACAGCCGCCAATGTCCAGGATTGATACGAGGGACCGAAAGAGGTTCGAACGAGAAGGAGAGAGAATGGTGGAGATCGGATTGCCAGAAGGTGGGGAAGAGAGAGGGGAGAGCAAAGATAGAGAGAGGGGCGATAAAATTGGCGTGGTTCATTGGGGATAGGGGAAGGGGACGAGGGTTGGGATCGCAACTGGCCGCTCGCGCGGTGATCGGTGAATGCCGTCAAGGTCCGATGCAAAGATCGGGATGATGTTATACCCCTCCCGGGCGAGGACGTGCTGCCACACGTTGGACACTTGCTCCGTCCACTCGCACAGCGAGGCCAAGATCGCGGTATGCCGCAGCGGTGAATGCCGCCACTATGGTGACGTGGCTCGTTCTGGGACCAGCTCGCCGATGAACTGCAGTAACCTCCGCGAACACTATCGCTTGAGGGTTTCCTTCTATCCGAAATGCGGCGGCGACACAGATACCTTCGTCACAGAAGAATCGCATCAAACGACGGAGATCCGTATTGAGCCGAGGGTGACAAACTTGCCGGATCTCTGAGATGTGGCCACGTGGCTGCCGCAGCTGTGCGCCGAGAACCCGCTCCGTGATGAAACTCATGGCGAGGTCGGAGAGGAGGACGAGGGACAAGAGGGAGAAAGAGGAGAGAGGGTTAGATCGTTGTCGTTTTCCTCGCTTTCCGAGGAAGAAGAGGGAGGAAAATCGGAAGGAGGAAGGAGACGAAGGTAGGAGGTATGTCTGACGATGGGGACGGAGCTATGGCTGGCGCTAGCCTCAGGCGCGATGCGCACCGTGTTAGCGTCGTTGGGTCCGAGTTCGACAACGCGAAAACAACTAGAGAACTTGGGAGCGAGTTTCCGGTCGCGTGCACATTTACGTACCTGCACTAGGTCCCCCAATTTATACTGGTACTGGGGCCCAGCATTTCCATTCCGGGCCTCGTAGCTACGAACCTGTCTACCGTGGGCCAGCTCGGTCATCCTTTGACTTTTTCGGGCTAGCTTCGGGACGGCCCGTTCCATCAAATCGATGTACCTTTTGGCCTTGGCCTTGAGGGCTGCATCCGTGTCTCTACCCCCTGCTTCGACAATTTTCGAGTTACCCCGGTAATCGACACAGGGGAGGCTATTAGTTCGAAGCTGAAAGGGGGTGAACCCCACAGACTCGTGAGGGGTGGCCCGGTGGATACCGACGATCAGATATACGATCTCGGGCCACGGACGCGTGTCGTGTGCCACTAAGTTCCTGCGAAGGGCGGTTTTAATCATACGGTTGGCATTCTCGGCCAACCCGTTCGACTGGGACACGTGGGGTGCCGTATGTCGGAGCGTGACGCCCCTTCGCGCAAGTAGTTCTTCTACCTCACCTTTAAATTCAGATCCATTGTCGGTTAGAATTTCTTCAGTATCTAGATGGGTATAGAGGAACCGTTTGATGTACGTGGCTATTTCTGCGGCTTTTCGGGTCTTACAGGGATAGACCTCGATGTACGTGGAAAAATGATCTATTAATACTAAGAGGATAGAATATTCACAGCGATTTGGGCCAGGTGGCACGTCAATATCTATCGTGTCCATACTGACTCGCTGGAAAGGACACTCTACTTCCGCTGGCACGATCGTGTTTGGTCCCCGTATAGGGGCGCGATCAGCGGCATAGACCAGGCAGTTAGCGACAATGTATTTGACATCATCTCGTATATTGGACCAGAACCATTGATTCTGGTCTACAGTTGCCTCCGTGACACGTATCGTGAAATGAGCGGCCTGTTCCTCGTGAGCAGATCGGATCCAATCGTATCTCTGGAAGGGATGGGGAACTGTCAGCCACGAACCCGATCCGTCAGTTTTACGCTTTTCCAAACGACTGTTGATCCATCGATAGTCCCGAGATCTCTCGGTTGCCCTACGTCTGTCGTGTTTGGTGAGATGGCCCAATGATAATCTCGCTAATTTCACCAATAAAATTTTATCCGTCCAGACTTCCGCCCATGGGTATTTTTCGTCGTATTCAGGACCGTCCGTACGGGCGGCCTCGAATCGAACCTCCGTGGGGAGTTTGTTCGTTCTACACAGGGGGCACCTCCATTCCTTGCTACTCCTTCGATATCGAACGCAGGCTCCGTGCGCACGATTGACATACGTGGCACATTCCACCCAATCGACAAATCCGGTCTCGAAGGGATGATAGTCGACCCCGTAAACCCATGCAATACAGGTGCAAAAATGACAGAATTTATCGGGGAGGGTGTCGAAGAAAGCTGAGGAAGTAAGAGGGGCAGAATTAGTAGGAGAAGAAGGGGTTGTGGAGGCAGGCGGGGTAGTCATGATGACAGAAGGGGAGAGACGAGACTGAATTGTGGAGAGAGTAGAGCAGGCAAATTAGT